TAACCTCATTTCTACCCTCTTGAATTTTCATGACTTCTTCATCGTAATGAGCGTAAAGGACCCAAAAATATATTTTAGGTGAAGAGGTGAGATCTAACCTCATTTCTAACCTCATTTCTAACCTCGTAGAAAACTCATGAAATTTACACCAAAAATATATTTTAGGGTAGAAGGTTAGATCTAACCTGTTTTCTAACCTGTTTTCTACCCTCTTGAAATTTCATGAATTTCCTTAAGATAGAAAAAGTATTGAAAAATAAAGTTTATGTTAGCATGTTAGATCTAACACGTTTTCTAACATTTTTTCTAACATCGTAGAAAACTCTTGAATTTTCATGAATGGCTCGATGTTGTCCATTGTTCTGTTTCAGAACTAGTCTTGTACTGTTTCAGAACAATATTTGTACTGTTTCAGAACAATATTTGTACTGTTTCAGAACAATATTTGTTCTGATTCAGAACAATATTTCCCGTCAAAGCTCTCAATTTGTGAGAAAAATTTTCTGATTCAGAACAATATTTGTTCTGATTCAGAACAATATTTGTACTGTTTCAGAACAATATTTGTACTGTTTCAGAACAATATTTGTACTGTTTCAGAACAATATTTGTACTGTTTCAGAACAATATTTGTACTGTTTCAGAACAATATTTGTACTGTTTCAGAACAATATTTGTACTGTTTCAGAACAATGTCCGACGTACCACCAAAAAATATATTTTATGTTAGCATGTTAGATCTAACACGTTTTCTAACATGTTTTCTAACCTCATTTCTAACATCGTAGAAAACTCTCGAAATTCATGAGTTTTGACACTTTCACAAAAAACATAAAAAATAAAGTTAGTTTTTTTAAAAAAATATTTTTTATTTTTATTGTAAGAACATGTTAGCAACAACTTCACCAAACTCTTTAGTCATGAACCCAACTTCAATGTTAGTAGAGATGAAAAGCTTCATTCCTTCTTCATATACTTTTGAGACAGAAATCCAGAAGATAAAGCAGGAACTTCTCCAAGGAGATTTAGATTGCACTGCGAAAGATGAAACAAATGAACAATATCTTTATGAAATGCAGGACCTCATCGACCATCTACCTAAACTTCCTGAAATCCAACAACAAAAGCTCACTATTCCTGAATTCGATGAAATTGAAGTCAAAGCAACTGACTCGGTAGAAATAAAGAAGTTCATACGTAAGGTAAACTATGAGTTTCTAGGATTTCATTGCAACCACAAAGTCATGGACAAAGATTGCGACATGGTATATAAGAACATCTCTGACATATATAAATCTGAAGAATTTAAGACCTACGACAACTTTGTTTCGTTAGTTGCTGAATGTGTATGGCAGATAAGAGATAAAGATAGAAGAGGTAAGGTATGGAACGAACAAATAAGACCCGCTATGTTTGAGATGAAGAGAGCAATTGACGCTTTAGTTGTACTTGCAGGACAAATTTCAATGTACAATGCTAAAATGAACCCACAATGTTCTAAATGTAAAGCGGCAATTAGGAAATATAACTACTCCGTCAAAGAGATAGAACGTATGCGAAACGACTATGCTGACTTAAAGAAAGAAGTAGAGAAGCCAGCAGAAGATAAAATGGACATGTTAGAATTTCTGAACAAAAACTATCCAACTGCAGAAGATTTCCTTCTATCTGACGTCAAGAAGAAATATAAAGAGACTTTCAATATTGTGAAAACTTTTGACATACTGACAGAAGAAATAGAAGCCACAAAATTGTTTAAAGTCTCACGAATTCATAACGTTTACCATGTAAAACGCTTATAAAATAACTGGGGTAGAAAAGAGGTTAGAAATGAGGTTAGATCTAACCTTCTAACATAAACTTTATTTTTATTGAATTCTGTATGAAATTTCATGAGTTTTGTGTGTTTTAGACCATGTTAGAAAAGAGGTTAGAAAAGAGGTTAGAAAAGAGGTTAGATCTCACCTTCTACCCTAAAATATATTTTTATTGAATTCTGTATGAAATTTCATGAGTTTTGTGTGTTTTAGACCATGTTAGAAAAGAGGTTAGAAAAGAGGTGAGAAAACAGGTGAGATCTCACCTCTTCACCTAAAATATATTTTTATTGAATTCTGTATGAAATTTCATGAGTTTTGTGTGTTTTAGACCATGTTAGAAAAGAGGTTAGAAATGAGGTTAGATCTAACCTTCTAACATAAAATATATTTTTGTCTGATTTACGCTCATTACGAAGAAGTCTTGACAAAACATTTACACTCATTTCGATGAAATCATGACAAAACATATACGAAGAAGTTTATTTCCTGTGTTGTTGTCAAAATGTCATGTTGTCACCATTTTCAAAAAGATGTTAGTTGACGAGGACGAGGGACCTGGTGACACCTAAAAACCATCTACCCTAAAATCGTGAAAAAATGACCAAATTTCATTATATAACTGTTATTTTTTTACCAAGTGAACTTTAACACTTCGTAAAAAAATCCCTGAAATCATATCTTTTATACATGAAAATCGTAAAAAATTGCGATTTAGACTTTTTTTGGTCTTGCATAAAACTCATGAAAATCGTGAAAAAATGACCAAATTTCATTATATAACTGTTATTTTTTTACCAAGTGAACTTTAACACTTCGTAAAAAAATCCCTGAAATCGTGAAAAAAATGACCAAATTTCATGAATTTCCTTAAGATACAAGATAGAAAAAATAAAGTTAGTTTTTTAAAAAAAATTTTTTTTATTTTGTATGTAAGAAACAGAAAATGACAAACATTGAGTTTGAAACAGTTAGAAAGATAGACAATGACACCAAAGTGGTTCGAATTGGTGATTTAAACGTAAGATACTCAAAGAAATACAAGAAATATTCTTTGTCAGACATTATATCTCCATCTGGAAAGAAAGCATTCGACTGGGTTAGAATTGCTTCTACTCAGAAAATTTTGACAAGAAATCCTGAGCTTATGATATCAGTAGCATTTCATGGAACAAGAGCATATCTTATAGACAAAAGTCTTATACCAATTTTTGTTATGGTTAGACCCAGTTGTTGGATATAACTTCATAACATATGGTTCATTCGATACGGAACGTTGCAGTGAAGGCTTACTTTACATCGTTCAGAAACGAAGGACTTCAATACAAAAAGATATAAGATAGGAAGAACATATAATATAACTAAAAGATATGACAGTATAGTCATAGAGTCAAGTGTGTTCGTTAACGATATGAGAGCTGCTGAAACAGAACTACTTGAAAAGTTGAGAAAATGTAGGTGCTCCACGAAAGGTAAAGAAACGTTTGAAGTAGATGAGATAGATAGTGCTATAAAATATTTGACGAAGTTTGCTGAAAAATACATGTAAAGCGTTTATTTTTACGCTTGACTTCAGATCTCAGGTAGCTCTATAAGGTAAATTGTTGTCAAATCCTTCTGGCATTCCGAGTCCTTCCATCCGACATTCCGAGTTCCTTCCATCCGACATTCCGAGTCCCTTCCATCGACAAGAAAAAAATTTCCCGACAACTGGAAAAAATTTCCCGACAACTGGAAAAAAATTTCCTGACAACTGGAAAAAATTTTCCTGTTGTTTCCGTAAACGAAAAAATTTTCCTGTTTGTTCGTCCGTAACCATTCAAATTTTCGAAAATTGAGAAGAACTTTTTGGTCGAACGACAGAAAATTTTTCCTTCCGACAGAAAAAGTTTCTTTTCCTTCCGACAGAAAAAGTTCTTCCTTCCGACAGGACACAAACGAATGTCCGACGTTCCTCCCTGAATGTCCATTCCAAAGCCAGAAGAACCGACAGCCCCAGCACCACAACAAGACTAAAGACTAAACACTTACATTTTTCAAGCTTGACTTTTTACAATTTGAACTTTGTTCGCGTAGATATGAATTCTGAAAGAAGTATGAGGGTCTTGTATGACTTTGTACTTCTCCCATAGTTCATGTCTGTCAAACTTACCTGCCATGGACTCTTTCATAAGTTCCATGAAATCGTCTTCGGACAATCCGGGGAAAAGTATAATGTCAGTAAGTATTCTCTTTACATCCTTACTTAAACTCTTTGCTGTCTGTACACAAATGACAACTGAGATGTTAAAGTGTCTGAGCTTCTTAAGAATTCGACACATATCTTGTTCTCTGTTTCTTTAACAAAGGATGAGAAGCAAAGTCATCTAAGATAAGAAGACATCTATGAGGGTAAGTCTTCCAATCGTAAGATTGCAATTTCTTCGAAATGTATTCTATCTCTTTCTGTTTGTTTCTGAAGTGTTTCTTTCTAATATTCTCTGCATTTCCTCATTTGGGTCTTTAAACTTCGAATTTATATACTCATTTATAGCATTGTACTTCAAAACTCTTCTTTGGTACTTCTTTATCCAATCTAACAACTCAGAGTCTTTATACATACTAACTTAGACTTCTTTATAATATCTTTGAACGAATTGACGGTTTGGTCAAATTGACCAGAAGTACTACAAATGACAACTAACTCATAGAATGGGTTCTTCTCATCTAGTTCTTGTTGTTGTGCAGCCATTTTAAGATAAGTGAAAGTCTTACCCGACCCAGGTGGTGCAATTAGACCTGTTATACCATTCTGAGCAAATAAGAACTTGTCATGTATGGTTTTATCTGAGCATTTTCCAACTTCCTCTTGTTCTTGTTTAAAACATTCTCAAATTTTTTGTCAATGTCAGCAAACTTTTTTTCTAACATATTTTTAGAAAAATTAAAATTTTTATCTTTTAGAAAATGTCTAGCGATTTCGCCATCTATATTCGAGACAAGCTTTTCGACAGCAAAACATCTGTCGACCATAAAATCTTACATAGTGTAAACAAGAAAGGTGAATTTGTTCTAAAGTTCTGTTTCTGGGAATATGACAAGAACCATAAAACATTAAGCAGAGAAGTCTTAAAATTTGTCAATGACAGACTTGTTGACAGAGATGACGCCTCTTGGAGAGATGAAGTCCAACAAAACTTCTTAGAATGCAAAGAAGACACATGCGCTGTTCTTGAAGATGAAATAGAAAACAGAATAGAAGAGCTATTAAAGGACAAAGAACTTTTACAAAAATATGGTTCTGAGAAATTTGACATAACTCCACCAGAAAAGAAGAAGAGAGAAAAGAAAGAAAAGAAAGTAGAAGAAGAGAAGAAAGAACCTGAACCAGAGAGAAAAAGAAATTTGACATGTAAAAATAAAATTTTATTTTTAGAACATTTCTGGGTCAATGTCAATGTTCTCTTCCTCTTTAGGAGCAAACACTGGCTTAGACTCTAAAATCTTTTTACCCAATTTACCTTGAACTTCTACAACTTTAGACTCATAATATTCATAGTCGTCTGCTTTCTTTGGTTCATAAGGTATAACAAGTTTGTATGCTTTGCCTTCTTTAGTTTTGAGAACCTTCTGTCAAAACTTTCTTTGACTGCTAACAAACCTTCTATGTCTAAGTCTTCAAATTTCGCACCATTTTTAGTCACAATAGCAAACTTAACTGGTTCGATGTTCCAAACTTTGCTGAATGAAGACTTTTCAAAATGGTAGAAGTAAACATTCAAATATGTGAATGGGTCTAGTTCTTCTTTAAGTCCTGACATGTACTTGTTTACTGAGATGAATTTTGCATCTTTTCTATCGGATAAAAAAATATTTTTTTTAAAATTTACTCAGAAAAATTTTTCTTTGTATATACACCATTCTGAACATCTAAAAGACTTTTGACATTTGCCAAGAATGTTCGTTTAGACGCTGTCATATAACCATATCTTGACAATATTGTTTATACGAATCGTACAATGACCTTTCATCTAAACACTCAAAGTCAGTTTCATCTATGAACAGTTCATATACACTCTTGTTTGCTTCTAACAATGTTTGTCTCTCTTCGGTATGTGGAATTTGTCTTGGATTGAACTTTGAAATATCTAATGTCATAAAATATGAGAACAAGTGGTTGTAAAAGTCAGATGTCAAAGTTTCTGCTAAGTCGTCAAAATATTCTGTATCTTGCATATGAGCTTCTGACGTTCTGACAACTACATATCTTCTGTCAGAACTTTCTAACTTCATCGGAACAGCATTGTTTGAAACCATAATGAAGTTTGCAACATTTTCACAAACTCTTTGGTCTTTATATTTCTTTCAACAACTCCAACTTTGTCTGTTATAAGACTCTTCAAAGCATCTGAGTTCAAAACTTTTGTTGTATCTATACTTTGAAGTTCGTTACATACTATAAGTTTCATATTCTCTATTGAAGAGTTAAATTTACCGCAGATGTTTTCTAAGTTTGTCATATTCGGTTCGAATAGCCCTCTAACAGTTTGCATAAATATCTGTAAAGAAAGTGTTCTTACCTGTTCCTTGTTTTCCAATTATAATGAGAGCAGTTTCATTTTTAGCACTTGGATGTTGTAAGATGTTTGCAAACCAACATAAGATATACTCATAGACTCTTTCGTTTCCATTGCATATAATTTCTTTGACATGGTCTAACCAAGCTTCTATAATATTTTCTTTCCATTCTACTTGTTCGTATTTATATCCAGTGAAGATAGAATAGAAGTTTGGAGAAGGTGTATAGAACTTTATACCTCGAACTGAAAAATCTTCTAACTTTGACAATAAGATATCCCAAGCATCTAACATCTTCATGCCAACTTGTACGACTTTTATTTTCTTAAGTTTCTGTTACATTCTTGTTCTGAAACTATTGTCGCTTTAGGTTTGTTAAAGACTACATCCCATTCTTTCATAACATAACATTCTGGGGCAGAGTCGACATAAATGACTAAACGTTTCAAATTCTCGACTGCTTTGTTATAGTCTCGAAATGGACACATATTTCTGAATGCTTGGAAGTCATAAAAATCTGAAACATCTATTCTGTACATTTTTATAAAAATAAAAAAAAATATTTTTTTTATTCTTGAGCTATTTTGTTGCATTTGTTGTTCTTGAGCTATTTGTTGTTCTTGAGCTATTTGTTGTTGAAGTTGTTCTTGTAATACAATACTTTCACCAGTTGCATCTTCCAATTCGAAACTTTCTGCCGTCATTGACAAATACATAGGACATAAAAGTTTTACAGGAACAAAGTTTGCGTCAACTAAGGTTAAGTTTACTTGCCAAAGTGTTTGAGTTCACTAAGCTGAAAATCTGCATTCGAATGAACAATAGGCAAACCAGCAGAGAAAGTGTTGTTTATACGCATAAGTATCTTTTGGTCATAGTAGTTTCTGTCGACATTCGAATAACACTTTGAACCTAAGTTTGAAACAATATATAAATAGGTGTGCTTAAAGTCAATGGAATAGACATTCCTTGTATGACACCTTTTCCTGTTATAGGAAACTGTTGGTAGTAAAAACCAGATATAAGTTTTGTATTATAGCTCATATTGTTTATAGTAAACTCAGTCGGACATCCAAACATAATGAAACCTGCTCTAGTTGCAGCACATGTTACACTCGTCCTTAAAGTATTAAATAAGTCAACAAAACCTGTTGGTGGTATATCTGAGTAAGTATCTTCAAAGGAGTATTTTTTACCATTCACAACAATAAAATCTTCTGGTGTCAAAAGAGCAAAACAGGCTTTAGTCGTCATTGTGTTTAAGGTTAGTTTACAATATCGTCCTTGAGGACTTTGTAAGTTTGTTGTTATAGAATTATATGACTCAGGGTTTTTAGTCGTAATAGTATAAACCATATGTCTTCTGCCATTTACTTAGCAAATAAATTTTAATGAAATGTTGTGGTCGTCAAATATTTTTATAACGTCTGGGAAACTATATTTTAAGTTCAACGTTTCACCTCCTTTCATAACGTATATCTTGTCAATGACATTATATGAAACACCACAGCAACTAATGTCGGGTTCTATTTCTTTGATGTTTATATCGTCTGCCTCTGTCAAAAGTTTCAATAGTTCTTTCAAAACTTCATGAGGTGCAATGACATATGAGTTCACTTTTACAGGGTTGTGTTCGACCAAGTTTAACATTATACCTAAAGCTTGACAAATCTTCTCCTGAGTTTGAAGTTTGTCTTTCAGTTGTTGGTAGTCGTTTCGAATATCTGCAACAGAACTTAAGTCTCTGCTAACTTCAGGATATGTTGGTTGTTCTTTTACAGGAACAATTGTTATACCATCTTCGTCTTCGTATGGTTTCCCCACTTCAACATCTCTTCTTTGACATTGACAACAACACTTTGACTGTTTGTTTGAGTTGGTGAATTTAACTTCACATCTGCCACCGCCATTAAACCTTTTGAAACACTTACGCTTCTATTTTTCGGAAATGACATTTTACTTAGAATAAAAAGATGGACGTATTCGAGTATCTCTTCGAATTGAAGCAGAAAAAGTTTACACACACAAACAATACAAATACATTGACAGAATAGTTCTTTACACAAACAATGGAAAATGTTATAGAATAGCAGTCTTTGCTGAACCAAAATATTTTCATAAAGCAAAGAAAGTTGGTATAACTGAAATGGTGAAAGTTCTTGAAGCAGACAAAAATATAACTTCAAAACTTACAGATATTTCTAAAGGAAAGTTTATAATACAATATTATGTCAAAACTGGCGTACTGTCAATATTTGACGGAGAGAAGTCAGTTCAAGAACAACTTACTGACCTGCTGCCAAAATCTGCTCGATGGAAGCTGTCGTTATGCCAATCTGAGGAGCCCCAGCAGGTTTCATCGAACGAATCTTCAAAAGAGCATCTTCCGTGAAAAGTGCTATTGGTTTTGTAAACTTCTTTGCTTCAATTCATCTGGACCGTCTCTGTCACCAGTATATTGTATTTGTACAGTACCAACAGTTGAAATACCACCCATAAAGTCTTCTGAGTCAGCAAATGGAATGCCAAGCCAAAAGTTTGAACGGTCTCCATTTGTATATTGAGTTTTTTGACCTCCTGTATGAGTCCATACTTTCACATATGGCATAATAGAACTTTGCATTTCAGGGTTAATGGTTGTTGTGAAGTTGTTGTTAAAGTTCATAGCATCTAATGTCAAGTTGTATGACCTCATATCCTCAACTGTAGAATATTCTTCTCTTGGATAATATTTGCCATCTATGTTTATATGATATTTAATACCGGGGTTGTAGAAACAAGAATAGTCATTTATAGTTCGTCTGAACAGTACAAACATAGTATCTGCATGTTTCATTGCAGTTGTTAAAGCAATATCTGTTCTTGCACCTGGGTCAGCACTTTGGTTTCCAACTTCACCTGCAAAGTCTTTGACAGATATTTGGTGTATAGGGAACATAAGTGGAACTGCAATATATTTGGCAGCTAAAGCATTTGAAATATCTGGGTCCAACATATAGACTGCAAGTCTGCTTTCTATTCTCTTGCATTCAAATTTTTCGCATGTGAACTTAACTGGGTCCCAAGCAGTTCCAGCAGCATTGAAATAATAGTTTACTTCAGTGTTGAGGTTTGAGAAACCAAAGTCTAAGTCAACTTTGTCTTTGCAAAATTCGGCGAATGACGTTTTATTTGTTCCCTACGTCTGTAAGAGTGAATGGGTCTTGTGTTGGTGCAATGACTAAGTTATTTTTGCTTGGAGTAAGTTCGATAGAAATTTTTCCTGCCCAGTTTGGCAAGTATCTTAAAAACCTGAAGATGAGGAAAGATGACAAAGGAACTCTAAGTTTCAGTTTTACTTTGGTTACTGCTGCTGCAGTTTGTCCAGAAAGGTCAACATAAACTCCTGGAACGTTAGGGTCAAGTCTTCTTATTTTCTCAATAGTTGCATACTGGTCTGTTTGTTCTCTAGCTTGTGGTTGTACTGAGTTTCTCAAAGCGAACCATTCATAGTTTGCCCATGTTACTGTTTGAACTAAGTCAGAGTTAGAATATATCTTATATCCCATGAAAACTTCTGGAGCATATTGGTATCCGACATAGAAAATTCCATTGCAACCTTTCTTGTCAGACAACTTGGCAGAAGGTTTTATTTCAATGTCTTGTTCCACGTATAAGAATGAGTTGTCAATAGAAATATATGAAACCTGTCGCAAGCAATATCTACTGTTGTTGAAGAACCTTCTCCAAACTCACCTACATTTCCATAAGAAACAGCAGTTGTATATTCGTAAGTTCCAGGAACTATTTCTGACCTTCTAATGGCATTGTCGCATTCGTTATACCATTCGGAAACATTTCCATTCATGGCATCCAAAACTGTTGGCGTTATATTCTGAGCGGCGTACATTTCATATGGGTAAAAATATAGAATAGTTGGATTTATTGTCATAATAGAACCCACGTGGACCAAGCTTTACTTTCTTCCTGACTGAGTTTTTAACTCTTCTTTTTCCTTCATTGCCACTACTTTCACTAGATGAAGTTACTTCTTCACTACTTTCACTTTGTTCTACTCTTCTCTTCTTCTTTGGTGTCGCTTTTGGTAACTTGCCCTCTGCTTCAAGTTGTTGCATCTTTGCCTCATGTTCACTAGTATGTTGTAAATTTCATGTCCTTTTTGCCTTTGGGCTCTGGTCGCCCATCTCAGGTAACCTATATCCTAGAAAGATTTTGTCATAGTTTGTATTTGAGTCTTCGCGTATTGTTTGCATGACTCTTTCCTGAGTTTCCGGTTCAAGCTCTTCAAACAGAGCTTGTCCATATGGAATAAGCTCGTTTCCAAATATATGTTTTTGTAGCCATTCTGGTTTTCTTTCCATGTTACCAAAATATCTTTTGTGAATGGGAAAGCTTTTACCCAATGTTTCAGTCTTGCGTCATTTATTTCTGTAGTTGGTTTTATTTTGTCAAGGAACATGTTTTTCAATACTAACATTTCATTTGGTACTGTCCATTTGAGTTTTCTTAAATATTCATCCCTTCTCATTCATTGTCTGCAAAGTAAGTTTTTATGACATTTTGTAAACTTTCGTTTGCAAGGTCATGTACAATAGGTTCTCTTCCTTCTCTCCCTAACTTTCTTTCTAAACTCTTCACCAAATATACCATCTCTATGGTTCTGTGTAGTTCTTTGAGATAAATGTTTAGAACGTCAGGTGTTATATTTCCATCAGCCATGTTCATTTCATACTGGTCCAAAATATCTGCATGTTTCATATCTTTCAATGGCATTAAAGCCGCGCTGAAAATACCAGCTATAAATCTGGTTCACCATTCATTCCATTGCGTCTACAACTTCTTGGAATTGTGGTTGTAAGTTTATGAACCACCTATCCGGGTTAGCTTTATGACCCCATCTCATTGTAGTTCCATAGTCTGCAGAAACAAAAGTAGGTTTGTTTCCATATTGGTTAGGTTCTGAATGAACTTTAAACAATGTTTCATTTCTATATGTTTTGTTGAAATTTAACCTTTTATTTTCACCGAGTTCAGCCAAAGATTGAACGTTATATGCTCGTAAGTAAAAAGGGTTGTTGTATTTGTGTACACTTTCTTTCAGTTTTCCATTCTATGCTGAATATTTTCATCTGGTGTTGGAGTCTTTTGTATGTCGGCAAACATTTTTCGATATTCTTCTACTATGTCAGCCGAATTTTTCTTAGACTCTTGGAAAGATTCCATATTCACCTCATACTCTTGTTGAGGGTCAAGATTTTTCGGCTGTTCCAAATCTTCATCTGTTCTGTGAAGTTAGTTTCCAAAGGAGGGACTTGTTCGTTTCCTTCAGGCTCTTCTAGCTGTTGTTGCTGAACTATTTCTTCCATGTCTGGTTGTATCTGAACTTCTTCCTGTGGAGTTTCTTGTACCTCATCTGCTGGCATTTCATATATTCCGAGACCGTTTTTAACAAGTTCCCTATCTAAGTCATCCGCATATAACCTTTCTTCTTTCGTTCCGTCTTTATTTTTTACGCGTTTCATGAAGAGAGTTGAATTGTCATTTAGCTCTGACACCAAATATCTCGGAGTAAATTCAGTCATGTCATTTGGATGATATGCTATTAAATCATATCCCTTAGCGAGCTTGTATTTTCCAGGTTTGAAATTATATCCCATTTGGTGCTGAACCATAAAGCTAAATAGGTTCGGGTCAGTATTTCCTTCCTTGAACTTTCTAATAGCTTCTTTATATCTGTCACTAAAGTCAAGAGTATCTGGGTAACCATAATTTTCCTTTAAGCATTTTTAAGAAATCTTGGTTTCCTTGTTCTCTACTTCTTTTATGTCCTTGCTCTGTTTGTGGTTGTTGTGTGCAGTGTTTTGAACTGTTGGTTGTGGTGCAGGTTTTGAACTGTTGGTTGTTGTGTTGGTTTTGGTGCAGGGTTTTGAACTGTTGGTTGTTGTGTTGGTTTGGTGCAGGGTTTTGAACTGTTGGTTGTTGTGTTGGTTTTGGTGCAGGTTTTGAACTGTTGGTTGTTGTGTTGGTTTTGGTGCATGCCTGTGTCTGTGTCCATGTGACGATGTAAATGTTTAGGTAGTCCTGGTGCAGGTGCTTCTCTTGGAGGGTTTGGTGGTATATAAGTTCCACTAGCTAGTATATAAGTTCCACCAGCTGGTATATAAGTTCCACCAGCTGGCACATATGTTCCATCTGCAGCATAATGTCCTACCTGACTTTTCGTTTTTAAGAAAGCATTTACTAGGTCTGTTTTGGTCTGTTGTAACTCTTTTTCTTGACTTTCCACAACAGTTGCTCTAACGGCGTCATAGGCACTTTGAACTGCCTGTCTCGTTGCTGCATCTGTTATTTTCGTCATATTTTGTGCTACTTCTCTTAACTCTTTGTCGAAACCTTCAGACTTCAGTTTCTTTCCAGATGAGAAGTCGTTCACTAGTTTCACCTTACTATGAAGAGCTTCGAAGGCGTTCTTAAAGTCAGCATTTTTAAAGCTTCATTTGAACTGTCTTCATCCGCTTGTATTTTTGTCCTTATTGACCCTATAAGTTGGGCTGCTTTAGCGTTGGCTTGGGCATCTAACCAGTCATTGTTAGCTTTTATATATTCTGCGCTTTTCATTGCCTTTTGCATGGCTGCGTCGTTATTTTTACTTTCTTGTGCTAAGTTTTCATACTGTACGGTTTGGTTTTGCAACTGTAAAAGTTTTTCTGCCTTTACATTTGCTTCAACTTCTTTTTTATACTCATCGCTATCCATATATGTCTTCAGGCTTTTTGTTTTATCTCTTCATCTTTCAGTACTTTATATTGAGTAGTATGGTTTTTCAAATTTATAACATCTTGTTCCATTTTTGCTACTTCTGCTGCTTTTTCTGACACTTTTTTCGCATATTCCTCTGTACTTAGTTCTTTCAGTTGTTCTTCTTTCTTCTTTTTCTCTACGTTTAACTCATTGAGTTTCTTTGTGTGTCTGTCATATTCTAGTTTCTTTTCGTTTTCACTTATTTGTTCTGTATGTCTATGTTTGACTTTTTGACATCTGTTATTTGATTTTTGAGTGAACTCAAATTCATTTGACTTTGAGGGTTATAGCTGTTCCGTCTGCAGCTCCACCATAGCCTGCCATTTTCGCTAAAAGTGCCGCTCTTAAACCTCCACTCTGTGCACCAAGAACTCGGTTTAAAGCATAGGGTTGCTTGACATTTGTTGCAACATAGTGGGGTCATTCAGCATTTGTTGTTGCAACTGTTGTTGTGGTGTCAGTTTTACTATTGGATGTTTCAATGCTCTCTTCCTCTTACGTATATTCTTACGTAGCTTACGTGGCATTTTAAGTGAAGTTAAAAAGCGGTTTTTGACAGATGTTTATATGACACTTTTGTTCAGCACAAAAAACTACTCGGTCAAAGTGTTGTCAGTTTTGTAAAATAACCGTCCTATCTCATTCTATAAGGGGAAAGGCTTCTCAAAGTATACTTCCTTGGAACGCCTGTAACTTTTCCTGTAGCGACGATAGACCCTTACTTGTCCGGACAAAGTTATACTATTTTGAGTGCTCTACAAAAAAGTCAACGGCGACGACTCTCAAAAACCGTTGTGTAAAAAGTTTTACCGTTGGACAAAAAAGTATATATAGAAAACAAAAAACGTTTATAGTTCATTCAATATTTGAGATGGAACGGTTTGCCAACGGAGACTTTTCAATAAAATAAAAAAATAGAGGGGGTTACCGTTGACAAAAACCGTTTATTTTAAACTCTATATTTGAGTTTATTTTTCATAATGGAAGGAAGAAAAAGTGTCGCAAACAATTCGTCGACTACCTCTGCAGTTAAAGTTCCTACAACTTATGTCTCACCATTTCAAAACCCTTACGACCTCCTATAATACCAAAGCAACTTCCTCATACAATTCAAGACAATTTGTCCAACAATTTGAGTTCTTCTTCTCAAAACACAACAGATACAGTTGTCCAAACAGCACCAGAACAAGTTTCACATAGTTCTACAATTCAAGACAAATTGTCCAACAATTTGAGTTCTTCTTCTTCTCAAAACACAACAGAAACATCTGAAACAGATTTACAACCAGCACCAGAACAAGTTTCACATAGTTCTACAAGTATGTTAACAAGAGCACAATTTCAAGATTTAATTTCTCTTGAACAATATTCGAGTAACGAAACACAAACCGACGACTGTAACCTCTCGCTACCCGAATCCATTCAAAGAAAATACGCCATGAAAAGACTGAAATTGTTGTATAAACTTCTTAACAATTGGGGGGTCGAAGACAACTCAGACTATAGTGAAATGTTTAACAAAGTCATAGAATCTGTTAAACCAATTGAAAACGACATAAAAAATCCCGGTGTTCTTGTAGACCTTTTCGCCTCAAAATTACCAGTTACAACCAATCTAATAGCAACACAAGCTATAGAACAATTTATTTTATGTTTTCCCAAGCAATATAGACAACACCTGAGGGAAACAAGAATAGGAAAATTTCAATTGGTGTATCCTACAACATACAACTATTACGAAGAAGCAAATGAATATGGAGAACTCTCATTCCATTTCACACTTTCAGTTCCTGAGGGAGAAGAAAAAGCAATCTATCATGTACAATCTCTTGCAGGATGTGAAGGAAAACCACACATTATAACTACTGTTGCAATTGACAAACCTGCAAGAGTCGAAGACGATGTTTTGTTCGCGTCCATTGCTGGTTTTGGCATGGGAGAACCAATTCCAATTTCCCATTTCACAGAATACTCAGCACAACATTTTCAAAATGTAGAATTCGTGTTCTACGACCAGCAAAAGTTCCTGCTCACAAAACCAAAGAAACAATTTGTCTCAATATTTGTTGCTGGTCATGTGGCTGACAAAGAGCCATCAGATACTGACTATGAAGAAGAGGAGGAGGAAGAAGAAAACGATAGCGATGTCGTTCTTATCGAATAAAAACTTTAATTTCTTACTATATAATTTTTTTAGTTCTCCTCTAGGTTTTTTTAGGGGCTAGAAGGGGCGCAGCCCCTGGAAGCCCCACTCACCTGACCTTAGATGATGTCAGATATTCCGCGATTAATTAAACATTGTTTAAATCCTGAATGGGTTAAACTTCAATTTAAAAATGAAGATTGTGAATTATTAAATGAATATGAAAGCCAAAATAAGCTAATGAGGTATAAATATAATGATAAAGAATATTTAATTTCATGGAATCAATGGAGTCATAATCAAAGACCTCATAAACGAGAAGAAGAAATTGAAAATAATGAAATGGAAATCATTGATGACATTAAAGAGGATGGAATTCCTAAATTTTGTAGAAAAACCTTTAGAACTAAGTTAGGAGCATATAAACATAGAGTATTAAATCCTGAATATCTTAAACATCAATTTAAAAAGGAAGACTGTGAATTATTAAACGCTAATGAATATGAAAATGCTAAATCAAAACTGAGATATAAATATATTGGAAGTGATGAAAGGTGTAAAGATAAAGATAAAGTTTATTCAGTTTCATATAATAACTGGCACACGTTAGGGATAAGAAAACATTTAGGAGATTATGGGAAATGTTCTGAATTCTTTAAATCTAGTATGTACGAGAGAGTAAAAGAAATTAGAAATAATTATTTTCATGAATGAAAGATTCACTACCATAATGAAATAAAAAATAATTTTTTTAAAAATAAACTTTAAAAATTTATGTCTTACGAAAAATTAAAACTTAGTTATGTTTATTATTTTATTTTTTTATTTTGTATGAAATGAGCGTCAAAACTAACGATGTGAAAAATTCAGGATTCACAAATGAGGAAATAAAGGATATATTAGAGGAGGCGGGTTATGAAGTTGATAGATATTATTTAAGAAATTGTAAAAAATTCGCGGAGTTTTTAAATGAATTTGATTATGATGGAAAAATGAATAAAGATGATGTTATAAATTTCTTATATCCCACATCTAAAAAAGAAAAACCTAAAGAACCTGATGTTTTCTCTGAATATTATGAAGAACGGATTAAAGATGATGAATATAATGAAATTGAAAGGCTGGAAAAAATAAGAGATGAAATAGATGAAAAAATTAAGGAATTAAGAGAAGTTGAAAATGAAGTAGAGGGTGTAATGAATATCCCAGCTTCAGAATCAGAAGTTCAGAAATCTCATGAAGAAAGATATAAAAATTATGTCTTAGAATCAACACAAAATTTATTAGATGGTGAAATAGATGAAACACTTTCAGAAGAAGGAACTAAATTTATTCGTAAACATAAGTTACAATTTATTAATAATGAAGAATACCCTTGTATATTACTTTCACCACCTTTAGATTCTGAGAAATTCAAAAAAGCTCTTAAAAACGTGACATATGCAACTAATACGATTAAAAAAGAAGATCATGATATTTACACAAATTATTATTTAAATAAATGCACAGGTGTTGATAAAGTTTTTGATTTATTAGATAAAATATCAAAAGAAACCATTGGAACCTATAAAATTTTGTGTGATTGTGGTTTCATTATTGAAGATACCAATAATGTTTCATATGAAAGAACAGCACCGAAGGAAGACGAAGTGGAAAGGTCTATACCATTCGTTATTAAGAACATAAAAGATATGAAAACGTATAAGCATTATATTTATTCATTTATTTCAGAAAAAATGGAAGCAACCCATAAAACATCTTCTCATCATTTTATAGCTATTCATACATTCCTTTTCAAAGTTGTGAAATTAAATAAGACAGGAATTAGATTTAATGTATCAGGGTATGCATTCTTGAGTAAATTAAAATGTATTCGTCACGTCGCAGATGATAAAAATTTATGTGTTCTTAATTCATTTTATGGGCTTTAAAAAATAAACTTTATCTTTATTTATTTTTATTTATTTTTTATTCTTACATAAATGAACAAAAACGGAACCGCTAAAATGAATGATAATCAAATTAGAGCAGACGGTAGAAGGTTATTTAAACGCTTCTATAACATTCCTGATGGTGTTAATCCTAAAACTCGTAGAAGCTATTTAAATGAAGCAATAGATGCATATGACGGGTTTGACATTTCATCAGAAAGTGAGAGATTAGCGAGAATGTTAAATGTTAATATTGATTTCTATTATTGTGATCCTCAACCAGAAGATGTGGATATAAATAAGGTAGACTTTCCATTAGTGGAATCAATAATGATAGATCCAGAATTTGAAACAGTAAATATTTTATTAACACAGAGTCCATGTGGAAAACTTCACGCTGACAGAATAACAGACGTTGAAGCACTCACCGGCTATAAAGTTTGTCCATTTTGTAAAGAAGAGGTTTATTCTATCCGTGATGATCCAGAAAGGAAAAACCAAAGAAGATTTTTAAAGCATTGTGAGAAATGTAAAGAAAATAATGGAAGATTAATTCAAGACGTTCAATTGCAAAAGACACAGCAACCATATGCACCACATATTACGAAACAGAAGATATATCAGTGGTTATTAGCTCATAATTTGCAGGAATATTATCAACCGACAAGATATTATATTACTTTTGACTTTGAAACATTAGAGACTAAAGAAGAATTACAACTTTCTGAGTGTGCAACTTTGAATGCTTACTTAAAACCATTCATGGTATCATCAACGGTTAAATTAAACGATAAAACATATACGAGGAATTTTTGTTTAACTTCGAGTGATTCTTTTATTTCTGATTGGATTGAGTTTTTATTTTCAACCTGTTCATTAGTTGCCAAATCAAATATTGAACAATATGAAGAATTAATGAAGCCGCAAACGGTGAGGACTTTGTCTCATACATTAAATGAAAAACAGAAGGAAGCATTTAAAGAACTTCTAGATGAAGAATTTAATAAAGTGAATATCATAGGTTTTAATTCGGGAAAGTTTGATTTAAATTTAATTCTTCGTGATTTAAACACTGCAAAATGGAAAATAAAATCAATGCTGGGTTCTTCTTCTCAATTTAAGCAAATCATTGTAAAGAAAACAAACGTTCCATATGAATTGAGATTTATTGACATCAGAAATTATATAGCGGGTGGGACATTAGACCAATTCACTCAAGATTTCGGAAACAATAAATCACGTGTTAAATCCTTTTTCCCTTATCAATTCATCACATGGGAGAATTACGAAGAAGAATTATATAAAGTGGAACCATTCACGAAAGATTCATTTTATTCAGCATTAACTCAAGAAACTATATCAGATAGTGATTATCAAATATATCTCAATGATGCTAAAAATTTTAAGAATAGATTAGAATATTTTATTCATTATTGCAATAAAGATGTTGAAATTATGATTGACCCAATCGATAAAATTATTGAAGAAACATTTGTTTATAAAATTGATATGCTTCATAATCTTTCTTTATCATCGAATGCTTCAATGATTCGTTACGCTTTAGCATATAAAGACTTTAATCATAATGAAAAATATCCTGAGGAAGAGATAGAATCAAGTTTTGAATTAACGAAAAAGTATTGGAAATATAAAATTGAATCATATAAGAAACAAGATGAAAAAGCAGAAAGGGATACTAAAAATAATGTTTCAATGGATGATTTTCAATACTATCACGATTTAATCCTTTCATCTAAATGCAAAATGTGTGGTAAAGCGTTTACATATGCAAATAAACCAACATTAGATAGAATCGATAATGAAAAACCACATACCAAAGAAAATTGTCAGTTAATGTGTTGTTATTGCAATGTCGTAAAATCAAATAAAGATGAAGATGTTCAACGTTTAAGAATCAATTTAAGAAATTATGCATTAAAAAATAATTTACCAATGACTTTAGATTCAGTTGAAGCTTATCACATTCTCCGTAATGGAATTACTGGTGGTTTATCAAATGTTCAACATCGTGTTAATCTTAAAGGAATCACACACATTAATAAACTTTCATATAATCCAGAAACTAAAACTGTATCAAATGAGGACACCACCAACATCATGACTCATTTCGTTGGTGTTGACTTTAATTCATTATATCCTTCATCATTTTCATCTAATCCTCATGATTTCATTCAATATACTGACCATAAAATGTATATGCCGGGAAGATTGAATGGTGTTATCATTTGTGATACAGCAACAAAGAAAGCAAAAGCACTGGGAATTATTAGAAAGAAAAATACTTTATTCGTGGCTGAAGTAAAGGGTCACATTGATGAAAAATACATTAATGATTACATAAACTTTTTACCAATAATAAAAAACTTAGATATTATCACAGATGAAAAAACAATTGGTAATTTTATGTATAATTACATGAAATCAAACAATCTACCAGTTGACCAGAAACAGAGAAAATTAACTCAGTTAGCATCAACAAACAACCAATATCAACCATTTTCTTCTTATTATCTTTGGTATCTAATAGACAAGTTTAATTTTATCATTGATGACATTCAATCAATTTTAACATTTACGAAAAACACTTGTTTTAATGAATTTGCGAACGAATTTATGAACGAAAGACAAAAGGCTGAATTAGAAGGAAATAAAGGAAAAAGTTTATTTTGCAAGATTTCACTTAATGGATCATATGGTTACGATGCAATGAATACACAAAATTACGCAAAGACTAAAATAATGAATGCACAGAAGGCACACGTTGCATGTATGTCAAATAAGTTTAAAAACATAAGAGAAATAGGAGAGGATACGTATCAAGTGATGCTCAAAGATAGATTTTATAGATGTGATACATGTTTACAAGAGGCATTCTTTACTTTAGATAATGCTAAATACTGGTATTTGGTTTTCATTTATGATTTTATGTATAAATGTATGGATGTTAATCGTTTTCATTTCATTGAAGGTGATACTGATTCATCTTATTGGGCTATTGCTGGCGATCCAAATCTTCCTAACACTCAAGCATTTCAAGCAATTGTTACCGATAAACAATTTTATGATAAAAACATTTTCAAATTCGCACCATTTGATTTCTTCTGTTTTGATGAGAAATTTAAACCTAAATTAAAGAATAAAGTTGAAGAAAAAGCACATGAGAAGAAGTTATTGGGTTTAGCAATTGAGAAACAAGGTGATAACATGGTTGCTTTATGCCCCAAGTGTTATACATCATTCAACGGTTCAATTGATGGAAGTGATTTTAAAAAGATTGCGCAAAAAATGAAAGGAGTTAGTTTACGACAAAATAAACAATTAACACCTAAAAATTATTTAGATATAATAAATGATAAAGTGATATTTGATGGTCAGAATATTAATTTACAACTTAAAAACGGGTTAATGACTCGCTTAACAATCGGTAAGACTGCATTAACAGGAGCACACACTAAGGCTGTATGTTGTGAAAATGGATGTTGTATGCCATTTATTTAATACAATGCCACAGAAGTAATGAAAGGAACCGTTAATGATGGTTATCTGCTTTCTTATCATATAAATCTTGAGCAGTGAATTTAACATTATTTTCACTACTCATGACATAAACATTTTTACAGCTAATTTTTTTATTCGTTGTTATGTTTTCATCCGATGTTAAACCTTGTGGAAAGTTAGGAGGTTTATAATATAATGCATCCCCATCACTTCCCTCAACCGTTCCTTCAATACTTTCTATAGCAACAGTTGAGAAGAAGTTATGTGTATGTTCTTTATCCGCTTTCTTCATTAACTCACTATCCACATAAGTTTTATCCGCTTTCTTCATTATGTCGTTTAGGAAACCATCAATGAATTCCTCATTTAAATTAAATCTTCCAATCTTCAAAACTTTAGGAAATGCATTTAATGCGTAATATCTCTGTTCTTCTGGTGGAATTGATGTTATATCATCCGTTATTCCTTTAATTTTTGAATTCATAAATAAAATTTCTTTTATATTTGATATCACTGCACCACCTTTGCAAACGAATTCGAAATGGTCATTTTTCAATACTATCTCCAAATCTCCATATTTCAACCTTTGCGTTTGTTCTGCCATCTTTGAATTATATGCATATGTGGCGTATGTAATGGTCTGAAGGACCTGGGTGCTTTGCGCCTTAAGTTGTTGTGGTTGCTGTTGTTTAATCATTTATTACAATTTAAAAATAAATATTTAATCTGTTATCTCATCAGCTATTTTTTCTATTTGAAATTGCCATAATATTTCATTCATAAATTCTAAATCACAATCAAATAGGTCAGTTATTCTAAATTTAATATTTGATAAATCTTTTGAATGAAGAATAAATGAATTCCCGGATAATTGAAACGGATATGATAAAGAAAATGTGTTTAAGTTGATGGATAAAATGTTTTGTATTGATGGGTAAGAGTTAGGGTCTAATGTTTGATGTGAAAATCTCATTGGGGTATTAACTTTATCACATTTGATTAAAATGAAATTGGAACCAGTGTCAGAATACAAAACATCCCCAACATCTTTTTCAAAATTTAATATCCCCAACAATGAACGAAGATGAGGAGTACAAAATTTAATTTTCAGCGGGAATTTAATAAGGTTATTTATTTCATCAAGTTCAAAAAGTTTATCAGGTTTTGATTTAAAATTTTCTTCATACCATACGATAAATGATTCATTTAAATAACTTAAAATCGTGTTAATATCCCATTTCGCGATCACATTATTTATATACATATCATACGTTTTTTCATGGTCATCTTTAATAAATGATATATAATCTGAAGGGTCTAAAAGAATGGGATTAAATTTACCACTCACAGAAACGAGAGTAACATTATAAATTCCGCTAACTGTTAAATTTAATTCACAGCTATTATTCGAAATAATATTGATAATTGACATTTTTATTACGATTAAAAATATGGTAAAGCGTTATTTTCCAGTGATAAATAAAACTAGAATAAGATTACCTCAAGAATTCATAAATTCAACGAATAAGAAATTCATTCATGTTATAAATTTTAGTGTTTTCAGAAAATATGAGTCGATGTCATATTCATCAACGGGTTATATTTCACTTCATTCAAATTTAGTTCAATCAAACCCATATAATGACCATTTCATAAGATTTTCAGATGGTATTAAAAATGTAATTGATAGATTAAAATATGAACAGATTGACAATATCGAATTTTTGGAATTTTGGTTTAAATATCCCGATGGAAAAAAGATTGAAGTTAAAGATAAAGCTGATACTATAACAAAAACAATTACAATAACTGATCCAGATAGTGGGGAAAAAAAAGAAATAAAACAAACGATAGAAACTGGTGAAAGGTCAATTATTATTGATTATGATTCAAAGGATTATTATTCGATAATGTTAATGCTTGAATATTAAATAGCCTTAACAAAGAATTTTTCAAGTGATATTTTATATTCATCAACTATTTTATTATAAATATCATTATATGTTAAATGAAGTTCAGTTGTTGTCCCATTCTTTGATATCTTAATTGTGCTAATATCCTTTATAGGATTTATTTTTGCAACTATTCCACAGCATGAAACCTCATCATCTATGAAAAATTGAATCTTAACGTCTGAATCTTGAACATCACAAAGAATGGCGATAATGTGAATTAATGATTCATAAGGTAAAATAATTAAACCGGATTGATCAATTAAATTTATTATTGAATCATAATTATTAATTATTATATCACGGTAAATTTTCATTAATTCAAAATTAATGTCTATTTTATATGGGTTCTCGATGTTTGATGAAAGAGGTGCTGGGTATGTTGGATAAGTGGGAATTTCAACAGGTTCTTTACCAGGTTCAGATAAAATGATTGGGTCTTCATTCTCCTCATTCTTCGGTAAGTCACGAGTTAATAAATTTGGTTGAGTTGCTGACCTTGTTAATTCAGGGCTAACATTAACTTTAACATTTTGAATAATTCGTGATTTATCATCATTTACGTTATAACCAACCGTAATCTCTGCTTTTGCGTTAGTGTTCTTTTGACTAGTGAAACGTCTTCTCATTTATATTCGAATAAAAAAAATATATTTAAACTTTTATTTTGCCGGAACTTTTGAATCTATTATTCCCTGTATTTGTTCATGAAGTTGATTTTTAGCTGTTTCATCAAAATTAATAGACCGAATATATTCATTAATTGCATTCTTATAATCAACTGATTTCTCAAATTTTCTTTTATCTGATTCCTTAACTAAATCATAAGTTAAACCTCGTTGCTGATATAATGGTTTCTTAATTAAATCTTTGAATGCTTGAGATAAAGCACCTGATGCAATTCTTGCTACTATAATTGGTTGGAATTGCTGTTTAAGTTCATCTTTAACATTTGCGAAAACTGGATCGAATAAAGCAACTTTAAAGAATTTCTTAGCTGAAATTTCAGGTCTAATGTTTGCATATTGACTATCAAACTGGTTTGAATATCGTGGTAATCCATCCGGTCCCTCTTCAATAGCATTTAATTCCTCATTGAAATAAGAATATGGATTATGACGGTATGAATTAATTGGACCATTTTCACCTTCTCCAATGTATTGTTT